GTCGCCTAAGAACTGTTCTTTTAGGAGGCAAAGTTACGTAAAAATCAACGACATTTGGAGACTTTCTACGCATTTCAGCGTAGCAACTTCAACCTCTCCATCAGACTTATCTACTCAATAAATGTCCGCATAGGCTTCTGCAGAGTCTTAAAATGGCGTCAGTCTTTCGCTGGTGTGTACTTCGTTCCTCTAAGAACCACAGCCATTTTGTTTGCCTCCTTGGGCTGCATGTTGCTGGAGGAGAGTTGCGAGGGTTCTGATCCGGTATCATCAGTGCCTTCAGCGGAATTCGAGCCCAAGTCATAAATATCGTGGCGAGGTTCCCAGTGGGTCGTAGGTATATGTGGCAGTCAAGATAAGCCGAATCACATTGAGGTGGAATTGTCGATTAGACAAACATGCCTTTTTTCCACCTCAATCAATAGCACTACTTAAATTCGATGTGAGTAGTTTATAAAACTATTCGTAAAATTTTGAATAAGATAACTATTCACTTATTGGTAGACCTGAACTTTAATCAATCAGATTGGAAGTCCAAATGCACTTTCATTAATGCACCTCGTTTACTTGAGACAGCCATTTCAGATGAACCACCAAGAGAATAGAAACTAACAGTCGCCAGCAAAGACGTCGGTCGCCACGCCCGACTGGCGAGGACGTGTCATTGACTGAAAGTCTCGAAGCGCTGAACAGTTCCAGTCCATGAAAAAAAATGAAGGGACACAAGAATTACGGGATCTGTGCTAAGGTTGATAAAGATTGTTCGGTGACAACTTCATCGGCATCTCTTTGCTTTCGACAACTGGAACCTGAATTGCTAGAGTTCTGTGAAACGGAATGAGGCAAATCTTATGGTTGATCCCTTATTTTGCTGCGTATTGTTTCGCTGCATGACACTCCATCCGAACCCCAACGTAAAAGTGCAGGTCTATGAACGTTTCAAGTCGGCAGACGTCTTCGTCGGCACGATTCAGCCTACCAAACCAGGCCTATTGAAACCAAGTAGCAACTGCCATAATGTGATCTCAAGCAAGCGTTGAACAGACATAAGCAGACTTCAGGCCCATGCTTGGCTTTCACAATCTCTCATACCAACCTGCCCACGTTCTCTACTATAGCCTCGATACAGACACGATGGCAAATGATTTCCAAAATCTGTCTGGTGGTAAAAATTTGACCCTTGAACTCATGACACTTTTGGCCGACAGGCATGGCCTGATACAAAGTTCTCGCGGTTGTTCACAATCCCAAGAAAGCATGTAGAAAAAGCTTTATTTCTCTTTTGACAATACATGATCGTCAACAGCGGCCCGTCATACACGAGGAATAGGAAAAATAGCCTAGGCTAGTCACCCTAAGTTGCATACGACGACAGTCTCGAAAACTACTTATATCAAAAAAGAGTAATAACAAGTGAAGAGACATTGAAGATAATGTTTTTGGGTTATGTCCGTCTCCAATAACTCTGAAGTTGAGGTAAAGCCTTATTTTTGTCTTTGCTTTTAACTTCGAAACGCATCCCAAATTGCCGACTAATCCTCATCCCCAAGGGCCATCGAAGCATGTTTAGGCTACTTGGAGTTAAATGGGAAAACTATCTAAATTCACGTAAATTGCGGGGTATTTTTGCTAACCTGACGAGACTGAACAAGATATATTGAAGATAATGCTTTATACCAGTTTCTCGTGGCCAGACAGGTTATCAGTTCAACAAAATAGCAGTCAGATCTGGTATGTCTCTAAAGC